GTATCACGTACATACGACATGAACGTGCGAAAAAAGGTCAAAGATCGGTCAAGCATCAGACTGTGGCGAAACCCGGAATAAATCGCAACAAGGTTAGGCTGTGCGTATAGTGGGGTTGGAAGGGCATTATTCATTATGAGCTGTTACTGCCAGGCAGGACCATCTATTCTGAACTCTACTGCGGGTAACTGACGAGATTGAAGCAAGAAGGCAAATTAATCAATAGAAGGGGTGTGGTTTTTCATCATGATAACGCTAGACCTCACACAGCTTTTGCCACACTCGTCGCTCTTGCACATTTTATTTGTCATTAAGAATAAAAAATATTTTTAATGATTAATGCTTAAAAAATCTACTTTGTCCCAGGCACTCTTAGATGGGACTCGAATCCATGACCTTTCGCAGTCAGGCGATTTATTTTTTAAGCATATTTCATTAAGAATATTTTTCAGTATAGCAAAATTAATCAAATACAAGAATAAATATTATTTTTCTCTCTGATGTCCACTTATGGGTACCTACTTGACAATTATAACATTAAGTAATGAAATATTTTGAAAGTAATAACTTATGTAAGCAATAACCGTCAAGTATTAAAAAAATATATAAGAATATTTTATATTATATGAATTTAATAAAAAGTAGTTTGTTAATTTATTGTAAGAACTTTGGAAAAGGGCAATTTTATACATTTATATTAAGGCAAATGGTAAACAAAAAATATTTACTTTGGAATAAGGCAATAATAAAAAGGAAAGGCGATTTGAATAAAACATTGCAAAAATTAATTATGGAATGAGAGACATTATATACATAATTATTTTTAACCAACTCAGGTTTACTTGTGGTGAAAATCATAATAGCATTTACTATTTTAATGAACCATAACAAGTAACAACAAAACTTAACAATAACAAAACAAAAAAAAACACAACATAATATAGGAAAAAAAATCGTGAGACACGAAGATTTAAAAAAAAAATGTTTTGTATTTTTAAACAAAAAATGGTATCGATAGAATTCTACACTATAATTTACTACGTGAATTCGGGTGTAGCGAAATTTATGTACCTAGATATTATGCTCTTTATAGTTTTCATATAGTTTATGTCAGTGATATACAATGATGATATAGCTAGAAGAGAATTTTCAGTGATCTGTTAATTATATAATTTGTTTGAGTATTTAAAAAGCGTTTAACGTTCATCATCCAAACTATCCAAGTTGACGTTGATATTGTATATTCTGGTGAATAGAACACAGTACAAATTTTGGAACAATATTACGAAGGTCTTGCCAAGACACAGCAAACAGATGAAGAACTGAAGAACAGTCGTAAAACCTCATCTCTGCGCGCGTTGTCTTGAAACGCGTTGTTTTGAACTGGAGCTCATTTCAATTCCAGGAAACAGTACCACATTATTATGTGACACTTCCACTGACAGACCAAGACCTTATCTAAAGTCACAGTTCCGTCGATCTGCATTTGACCGCTGTCACCAACTTAGCCATCCCAGTGCACAGGCGTCTGGTGTCAGAACGCTATGTCTGGCCAAATATAAACAAAGATTGTCGCGAATGGACATGTTTTTGTATTCAATGCCAAATAAACAAATCGGACAGTTTGAACTCCCAATCTCGTAGATTTCGCCATATGGATATGGCGACATTGATATCATTGGACCCTTACCATTCTCCATCGGATTTAGGTATGGTTTACCCGCTATCGAACGTTTCACACAGTGGTCAGAGGCTTGGCCAATGGTTTCAATGACCGCCGAAAAAGTCGCTGACAAATCAGTATCTGGGTAGGGAGCTCGTTTTGGTGTACCCAGCTCAATCACCACCGACCAGGGGCGTCAATTTGAATTCTCCTTATTTCAGCAACTGATGAACTTCTGTGGTTCCAAACGATGCCAATGGCATGGTGGCACGAATCCATCGCCAACTTTGGGCAGAACTCATGTGCCATGTTGATACGTGGACTAGAGCGTTGCCACTCATTCTTCTTGGCATGCGGACTTTGTGGGCATTTCACAAAATAAATTAATATTTTCACAAATATTTATACTTTGTCTTGGAAGTTGTCAACAGTGGACAATTTATATTACCATATAAAAATCGAGATAGTTTCTGTGTATTCGGGTACACCTACACTCATATTTATTGAAATGTGACGTTACGGCTCGAAATGTCACGTGACTAACTACTAATGAATGAGACATTAGTACGAAAAAGAATGTACTATTTTTTATATATGCATGTAGTACGAGGGGTGTTCAAAATGTAGTGAGAATGGCTATGTTAGAGAATGAATTTATTTCATTTTTTTTAATTTTTCGACGTAATCACCCTTTAGGTCTATACATTTAGCAAATCGTTTTTCTATAGCCAAAATTCCCTTTTAAAAAAAATCTTCATCTTGAGTACTTAAAAAATCGTTTATGGCGGCCTTCACTTCTTCATCATCTTCAAATTTTGTGCCTCTCAAGTGTTCTTTCAAATGCGGAAATAAGTAGAAATCACGAGGGACTAAGTTCGGTGAATATGGCGGATGATCGAGGATCTCAAAGCCAACATCTTGGGTTGCTGCCATTTCCAACTGCAGACGGCGCGTTGTCTTGATGGAACAAAACTTTTTTCGTGACTTTTCCTCGTCGATTTTTAAGGATTTCTTGACGTATTTTTATTTTATTTGTTTTGTGTAGACCTTTCCTGTGATAGTGGCTCCATGTTCAAGGTATTCAATCATTATCAACCCCTGGCTGTCCCAAAAAACTGAACCCGTCTTGCCGGCGGATGGTTGACTTTTGAATTTCTTTGGTGTGGGAGATGTCGGTCTTTTCCAGGATATTGATTGTTTTTTCGTTTCTAGATCATAATGATGCCATGTTTCATCCATTGTTACGAATCGACTCAAAAAAAGATCAGAATCTCGTTAAAACAGTTCCAATGAGCTCTTTGAAATGTTGAGTCGCGTTTGCTTTTGTCCGTCCAACGCGCGGATAGCTTTTACATTCCTAAGTGTTCTTGCAAAATGCTATGCACACTACCACTTGAAATCTTCAACTCTTCTGCTATAAAACGGACAGTACACGGCGATTATCAAGAACAATTTTTTCAACTTTCTCGACCATTTCCTCAGTGACTGACGTTGAAGGGTGGCCCGAGCGCGGGTCATCTTTAACCGATATTCTACCACGTTTAAACTCTGTACACCACCGAGCCACTGTGGAATATAGAGGAGCAGACTCCCCCATGTCTCACATAAATCTTTAAAAATTTATTCCGTGGTAAAATTTTTCAAGCAAAAGTATTTTATTACTGCACGGATTACAGTTTTATCCATTTTTTGCGAGAGTTAACGACGCGTCACAAACAAATAATTAATACAACTGACACAGACAAGATAGAAACCTAATTATTTGAGGGTATTAAAACAAAGACCTAATCTTACTATTCTCTCTCCCTCCATTACTGTTCTCTCTACATCATTTTCACTACTTTTTGAACACCCCTCGTATATCTGTCCACTAAATGCATGGCACTCGATAATTAGACATCAGATGATGATGACGATGATTTTTTTAATTAGTTTTTAACTTAGAGAACAGCATATATCATCAAAGTCGACTTTATAATTTTGAATTATTATATTAAAGTTCAAGAAATGAGAAAAACATGTAACTTGCTCTTTTTTTTTATTGCTGGCTTTTTCCTTATTTCTTGGATTTTTTTAAAAAGCTTAGTAAATGATTCTTTCTTTCTGTATTTCTTTTTGGCAGTTCTTATCAGCAGAAGCGACAAAATATTCTGTTATCTGTAAATTACTATAAAGTACTCGATACCTACAGACATCGATATTTTACGTATCTTGTAAAGACCACCAATTATAGAACGTTTTCGTCGTTGAAATAATTTCTAAAAATATTGAATTTTCTTTATATTATTTTACTAAATCTAAACAGGTTTTTTCTGCAGGTGACAAGAAATAAGCTTTATTAGATTATGATCTATCAGGATGACCACAAAATGCAACTTATTTTCGATAGTGTCAAATACCCTATTTAAATTAATTAATAAAAATGTGTTTTCTTTTTAATTTTCATTTAATAACACTTTTTGGAGAAAATTAAATCTGATAATGGTTTTTATGATCATATGAAAGTATTAAAACTTTTGCATAACAGTCCAGTAGCTAATGGGGAAGTATTTAAAAAAAACGAAAGCACTAAAAAAGCACGTGCACTAGATGGCGACTCTAGCAAAAGTTGATTTTTGCAGGAAACGAATGGACCAAAGACAGTCATTTCCGTTCCTATGAACTTACATATTAAAAAACTGAAATTTGAAAAGTTCGAAACTTAGATATCAATACAAATACGAAAAGTACAAATATATTGAGTTTTGAAAACTAATTTACTTTTAAACATAAAAGAAAACCGGAAAGGCTGTCTTGGAGGAATCAAGAACGTACCGTGGCGACATCTGGTTAGATTTCGACAACTAATGTCTTTTATTTAATACTTCCTCATTGTATATTTAAATCGCACATTCGTGAACACTTGTATGTTCAAATAAAATTTGTGCATAAAATATCTGTAATGTAATCAAATATTTAGTGCACCGGTATAGGCCTAGGCTAAATTATACGCTTCATCTTCTTTTATTAATGACTTATCTGCGCGTTTCGCACAATTCTGCCAATGTCAAGTAAATAAATTAATTTCTACGTGTAAAATGGAAATGAAATCAATAAAAGATGGCGATGATGTAAAAAACTTGTTCAAGATGTGATGTTATTGTTATGTACGCTAGTAAGCTTTCTCAACATCGAACTGTCTGCTTTTATAAACGCGGATCTTCATTTTATATATTTGCCCTGCACTAATATAAAAAATGTGTAAATTTCTGTTTTACAATCTATCTCTTTCAAAATATACTAAACATATAATGCTGGCAACATTGACAGTAAATCGTTCATAAGATTCAAAGATGGCGGTCATGTCACAGTTGCTTTTTTCTGCCAAACAATACTGAGAAATTTGATTTAGTAGCCAATTATTTTCATTCCTTACAAATAAATCAATACAGATTCATTAGAACCTTAATTAAATCGTAGCTAGTCATTTTGATAATGTTATAATTAGTGTACTCATGGCTTCCAATGTGCACGATTCACCTGTTCAGCAGACATTTGTGGAGGAGATTGATTACAGTGAAATACAGGAATTATCGGTAATTATGCGACTATGCACAAGTTTAGTTTTACCTACAATTGTTTCGATGATCATTGACACATAGGTTGTGTAAGCAGGTAGTTGGCAAAGGCGCTTTTGGAGTAGTTTGGAAAGGACTATGGCGGGACACGTTTGTGGCGGTAAAACATATAAATTCTGAAGCTGAGAAACGAGAGTTTGCCATAGAAGTTCGTCAGCTCTCTCGAGTTAGCCATCCTAACATTGTGAGACTGTATGGGGCATGCACAAAAGGTGCTCATGTGTGCCTTGTTATGGAATATGCTGAAGGAGGCTCATTATACAATGTTCTACACAATCGCCCCAAACCCAAATATACAGCAGCTCATGCTATGAGCTGGGCAAGGCAATGTGCTGAGGTAACATATACTTTTCAACTTTATTGTAATAGCTGTAAAATAGATTATTCTACCCATTAATTCTATAATCTATTTTTTAATATAAACAACTGTAACAAATTTTTCAGGGTGTAGCTTATCTCCATGCAATGAAACCAAAACCGTTGATACACAGAGACTTAAAACCACCAAACCTGTTATTAGTATCAGGTGGGCAGCGTCTAAAAATATGTGACTTTGGAACAGCAGCCGATAAAGCTACATATATGACTAATAACAAAGGCAGTGCTGCATGGATGGCTCCAGAGGTAAGAGAAGCTCATCTTAAGAAAAAATCATAAGTATGTAAAATTCATAAATATAAAAATTCATTTCAACTCTATTTGTAAACTGTATATGTCATTCATTATGAAAGTGCAAATTGCCAAGCATATACCTTTTTAATCTCTCCACAAAAATTAAAATAAACCTTGCTGAGTTTTTTGTTATTTCTTCAAACCAAAACTTGCTAGACAAATAGCTCAGTTTAAAATGGTCTGAATTAACAATATTATTTGAAAAAGAAACTATTTGTTTTTTTTTCGAATGCAGATATCACTTTAAAAATGTAGGTGGATTTCTTGAGATAGGTTCCTTGTGCATATGAAATGAATTGTGTACATACTTTTAATTTTTATTGCCTTGTACAGTCAACTATAGTTCAGACTATAACAATTTCAATACTATATGTATTTTCTTCTTAGGACAATATAAACTTTCAGGAAAACTACATACTAAAGCTGAATTTATTGGATGCTTTATTTTAATATTACACAAAAGTATAGTGGATGATTTAAACCATGAAGCAGTTCTGTAGTAACATGCATTCCATCGTTAATTTTGTTTTAAATGTTAAATGTGGTTGTATTAGGAGCACACAGTTTTTTTATTTTCTGGGTACTGAGATTTACTATAACCTGTCAACCATTTTTATAATTCATTTCAGGTTTTCGAAGGTTCAACATATACTGAAAAGTGTGATGTATTTTCATGGGGCATTATATTATGGGAGGTGTTATCTAGAAGGAAACCCTTTGAAGAAGGTGGTTCAGCTTTTAGGATAATGTGGGCTGTGCATACAGGTAAGTCTCTAATATATATATTATTGTAGCCAAGTGGTGTAATCAGACAACTAATTGGGTGGCTAGCCCTGTAATTGAATGGCGCCATTCAAATAACAGGCCAAGTAACTGAACTTAAGCTCATATTGTAGATATGATTAAACAAAGGTCAGCCATCTAATTAACTGTCATTTCAATGGGAATACTAAAATTTATTAGTAGGATTAAATCATGTCTGTTAATTGGAGCCAAATGTTTTATTTTAATGTGACATTGATTGTTAAAGTGAATATATAAACAAATCTTCTGTAAATATTTCAAGCGTGTATCTATTACAATTATCGATATTTAACAAAAACATTATTTATTAAATAAAAGCAAATATTTATACTGTTTCTTAGTATTTGTTCATATAATGGTAACAGAAATGCATCTTATGTGAAATTCAGACAGACGGACAGGAAAAATTTAGTAGTAGGGTTTTGTTTACCGTTACCCTTTGGTTACAAAGCCTAAAATTATCTAATTATAATATAGTGCTATTTTTTGACAATAAAAAGCATGAAACGAAGTTTTAACATCATAACCACGTATATCTATACAAAATAAAATCATAACACACCTTATAATAGGCGTTCCTATGTATGCATAAAAAACATCACCAGTTACAATTGATTAATAAGTTTAACTTGTCAATTTTGATATATGGTTTAATTAAACCTTTAAAACCGTTCATACCGTGGACGTAGTTCCGCACGTTATCCATAGTTAAAATGAACAGCTTCGTTTCGTCGACGGCAAATCTCTCAACGACCCATTTCTAGTAGTGGATAATTTTAAATAAAACTCAAGAAATTCTTGTATGGACTGATTAAAAAATAATTTATTCGCAACTGATTGTTAATGGTCCATATGATTCAATACAGAAAGCTAACATACACCAATAACGCAAGTGGATGAAGCTTAAATTTTCATAATAAATTCTTAATACTAATACAATTACACAAAGATATATACGTGATTACATAACCGATAGCCACAGCGCTATCTATCGAATATGAGAGTAAGCAATGTTTTTGTCTGCGATTGTTTTAGTATGTATATTACGATTTCGATGTTAAGTGCTACAATAGTTAATAACAAGAAAATTATAAACAACGAATTTATTTTAGTCCTGTAGATCACATAACAGGTTATAATTTCGAGGTTATTTCTTTTTAACAGATAACAAAACTAAATAAACGTTTTAGCAACTTTTAATCAACAGTCTTATTGAACCATTCAAATAAAGGACTAGCCGCCTTTAACTAGTTGGCTATATCATATACATTAACAGTCTATACATATATAAACCCAACTCACTTCCCTGATGTCTATACACTGAGATGTTTTAAATTGATTTTAATGCATTTTTCATCAACCTAGAGTGCTTCAAGAGGAAGGTTTATATTAAATACAAGACCATGCAGGCAAAGCCACTGGCGGAAAACTGTGCCCTATAAACCAATAAAAAATAGGCCTTTACTATTGAAACAGCCTCTTGTGAAGTAGGATTCATATATTCCATGGCAAATTTCATCATCATGAAAATTCAGTGCAAGGCTGATGGGTGTTAATGACTGTTTAAAAATTTATGAATTGTTATTAAATTATTCCTATATCATAAAATGTTTTAATTTATTAGGTATTTCCTTATATAAAAACAACAATGATAAATGATATATGAAATTTTATCATACAAAGTTTGATTTGATATTGCATTGGAATTATATGTCTATATAAACTTTCGCGTCGCATTATATTAGATTGTATAAAATCTTCGATAGTTAGGTCATCTACCTATATTTCCCGACTTTTCGACCCGGTTACACCGGCCTTGGTCACGGGCTGACTGTTTCTGCGATGCTACGTCTCACGTACTTCAGAAGATGAGATACATCGCATCGCAGAAACAGTCAGTCCGTGACCACGGCCGGTGTAACCTGTTCGTTTTAAACATTACAAAGTACTACCCGTCAAAGATGTCTTTTTATACCAGTTTCTCAAGGAAGAGTATTTTAATGGGTCTGTAAAAAAAGCATTTGCACACGAAAAGATGACGCGTTCGATTACTTGTGATTAAGTGCGCAGAACACAGGCACATGCACTGTGAGAAACTTGTTACCCCAAATCATAAATAAATTAGATAAAAATTTTCGAAACTCAACAAAAAAATATACAAAACAAAATCAACAACGCTACTTCTGTGTATGCTGGATCGTAAAGACCAAATAATATCGTAATACCACTATATACAGCGTGTTACAAAAAACCCCATAATCCGTAAAACAGCATAGAGTATACATAAAACTGAAATAATGGACGCTGTCCCTAATATTATAGCCAATATATTTAAAGAAAAAAACAATATCGAAATTTTGCAAATTTTTCGATAGGATTTATCGAAGTACACCAACATTACAATCAGCTGTTTCAGTTCATTGACTTCTAAATCAAAGACTATTATTTTTCCAGACTGGTAACATCTATCGGTATTTAGTGCCTATACCTACGTCACAGTATAGGGAAATAATTTGTCGATTATGTGTACATATGTAAAAGCTAATATCGGAACATGCAAAACACGAAACGCCTTTAGAAAAATAATAGTAGAATTAACTAATTTAGATTTTCTCTTTCCACTCCACCGTGCCATTGCATGTCTTAGTCTAAGTCTTAGTGCTGTAGTGGAAATATTATTGATAATAAATAAAAAAAAACTAATTATAACTTCTTCTTAAAAAACTGATTAAGAAGATTTCAACATACACTATAAAGTCTCTCTTGTAAAATAAACTGATATTTTTCTTTCTAATTATAATAATGATTGTATCATATGGTTTTCAGGTCGTAGGCCGGATCTTATTGACGGTTGTCCAGAACCAATTGAGCAACTTATGACCCAATGTTGGCACCAAATGCCTGCAAAGAGGCCGAGCATGGCAGATGTAAGTTCATGTTTACTTTGGTCTATTATTAGCTATCACTATGTCATTGTCCTTTGTCACTGTATTGGAGATGAGATAACATAATAAACAGTAACCATGTGAATTTCTAAAGACTAAAATAAATTAAATAATGTGTAAAATCATACGTTATTGTAATCACTTAAACTAATTTGCTCAAAAAGTAACAACCTTGTTTTGAGAAGAACAGCCAAGAAACTCATCAAGAGCTGTTTTTTTTATTCAATGTAAAATCTTAATTATGTTAACTGAATTTTACGTCATTTCTAGATTTAATTTTACAAGTGATATTCAGAAATTAAATAATTTAATTAATGTAATAGAATTCGGTAATGGCTTCTTTTTCTGTGGTGCGGAGCTGATGCAAAAAGTGACGAGTTGATTCAACGTCTGTTAGTAGCCGTATAGTACTCAACTCAAATGTGTGAACAAGGTGACTAGTTGATCACGCCACCCTGTACTTTTGTGTTTTGTCCTATAAATAATCGGGGCGCGACGTCCTCGTTAAACAATTTTTTATTTGGTCGGTTAGTATTAAAGGTATTATATTCAGTTACACTTCTGTCCAGTATTTGTGTGACTTTTCTTTTCGCTATGATAAGGTCACGCTGGAGAAGCTTGTTTCGAGTGGTCTATGGAAATCAAATTTAAGCGCTATATACGGTAATAAGTATATACGGTACATACTATATAAGTATATACGTTACAACATTTTCGTGGCATTTTTAATCAGACCCCGCAAGTAATCGTCTTGTCGCGCAAGCGGATTTCAACATTCCCTTATGAGCCTTGTAAAAGCGTGCATTTCTGTGTGAGCATGAATTCAACCATGAGTTCCTAGCTACTTGCTAGTTTTTAGTACTAATGTGAAATAAACATCTTACCTTTCTAAAAAACCTGTGTTTTTCACCCTTCAGCCATATTTTATATAATAATTATGGTTTATTCAATTTAATTCTAAGTAGTCCCAATTTGCTTGGAGTTTATCGTCCTCTCCCATCCCCTGAACTATTTCTCCGTTGTTCATAAAAACGAACGTCACAGGCCTGGGTTAGTTATGATATAGAAGTGATATAAATATAATCGTTATCGATAGAAAGCATAGTAATTCAATTCACCTTTTAGTAATAGCATTTAAAGTATTTAGGAGCCTCCCCGTACCGTAGCTACTTGACAGAATTGATTTATTTGAAATTCGTATGTATTACGTATCTACAGGGATAAAGGGTCGAAGTTTTTATTAACGAACTACCTTTATTATTATCGAAAGATAGCATCCACTTTAAGGCCCTGCATAAAAATCACGAGGTGATTACCACAATCCCTATTTTTATAACAATAACTAGCTGACCCGACAGACTTCGTCCTGTCAAAAAGATTTGTAATATGGCAGTTTTTTTGCCTACGTATTTAAAAAAATTCTCCTGAACAGAACCGTCACCCTGGTGATAGGGCGTTGTGAATAAAAAATAATTAAATAAAACATATATAAGGATTTAAAAGTAAGTAATCGCTTTATTGTTAATCATGTGAATCATAATTTGTAGCATTTCTGGTTCTTCTACCTAAATTGCTTCGTCTTATAGGAGGCATATCAAATATAAATTATTTTTTCACTAATCACGAACTAAACAAACACTAACTAAGTAAACACTCTGCACAAAACACGATATACGAATTTGTTTCGTGTATCAGTTGACAAAAGCAAACTCAGTAGATTAGGTCACAGACAACTTTTTTTTTTTTTAAATTTGATATGACTTGAAGTCAAATCCTTTTAAGCCGTACGAATTGTTTTATTGATTTAAAATTTGGATATTAAAAATAATAAAACACTGTTGGTAACGCGATTTTTGTTTGACTGATGTAATGACGTGGAAACTGATGTAATGACGTGGAAACTGATGAATAAAAAATAATTAAATAAAACATATATAAGGATTTAAAAGTAAGTAATCGCTTTATTGTTAATCATGTGAATCATAATTATTATTATTATCATTGTAGTGCTTTGTGGTATACGATGTTTTTTGTTTGATTACCTGGCGCATAGATAAACAAATCTGATGGTTTTCCAACACGGGAACAGGCAACATACAATTGACCATGTGAGAAACATGGGTTTTCTAGATTAATACCACAAACACTTAATGATTGCCCCTGGGACAACTTTTTTTTTTTTTTAATTTGATATGACTTGAAGTCAAATCCTTTTAAGCCGTACGAATTGTTTTATTGATTTAAAATTTGGATATTAAAAATAATAAAACACTGTTGGTAACGCGATTTTTGTTTGACTGATGTAATGACGTGGAAACTGATGCATTTTATCTCGCGTGCCGAAACTAATACAAAAGAAACGCGAGTTTCGGAACGCGACATGAAACTCCTCCAACTATTTATTCTGTGCTCCAACGCACACACGCACATTGTTTTGATAGATATGATCTTTGACGTTAGGAACACACCTACATTGCTTAGACAACAGTGAGTGCTTGTAATTTAATATGAACTTTATACCATAGCAATAAAGCTCAAATTGACTACGTTTTAGTTACAAATCATTTGTATGGGAAAAAGAAAAGGGCTATTTTTAGGGTTTTTCCAGCAATAATTCTAATTTTTCTCGCCGTAAAAACCATCCTTGAACTTCAACGAACATTTTAAAAAAAGATTTGGCCAAATTGGTCGAGGCGTTGTTGAGTTATGCGCTTACCAACACATTTTGCGATTCATTTTTATATATATAGATAAAAATTTACTTATGGAACTGGCAGCTTATTAATTTTGTTAAGTGTGAAATCCCCTCAGTTTATGCCATTGTTTTCGGTATTGAGCAGTCTGTCTATTTATTTTGTTCCCACCTTTCTTTTGATGTCGTACCAACGCATCTGCGGTCTTCCTCGTGGGCGTTTCTCACCCCATGGCCTACACTGTCTCGCACCACGATCTCTCAATCACGAGAAAGCGTGGTGCAAAAGGCAGCGAGCACTGGTAAAATGCACTGGTCATAATTACCAGCCTTTTGTTTGGCGTTGATGTTGATTTTAAACGCGTATTCTATGGAGTAAGTCTCGTCAATTTCCTTGGCCTGGTTTCCCATAACGACCTCCTGACCAAGATACACATACTTATCTACTCTTTCTGTGATAATGCCATTCAGTCTGATGTCTGATTTTTGAAGATAGTCATCTTTGTTTTTTGAAATTAATATTTATTTAGTTTTGCATCCACGATACTATATTGATATTTATCTAAAAGAAAAATGCTTCAAAATTCACCAAAAGTGCCCGAAATGGGATACGAACCCATAACCTTTTGCAATGAACTAATTGAGCTTCCCGAAACCTAGCGGGCCGCTAGCTGCCATATTCATGACGCCAAATGAACCGATTAAAAAATTTCAATCTGACAAGAACAGTGACATTAACGATCTTGCTACAAAATAAATATAATAAGTAAGGTAAAAATAGCGTCATCTAAGAATCTACGTTATACTGAATAGACTACTGTTTACAACTAATCTGACAGATGTAGAAACTTTTCTCAGAATGTGACGTTACAATTTGGCAAGACAAGTAAATCAAAATCACAATATAAATTATAGTTTTTATAAAAAAATGTGAGATTTTTCACTACTAAAATTAGAATTTAATTACCCGTCTCCCTTCGTATTCTATAAAACTCAAACACGTTAATTAACTTCGCTCGTTTACAGGTCGTCGAAATAATGACTGCACTATGCGAGTTCTTCCCCGGCGCAGACACTCCTATAGACTACGACGATTGTGAAGACGATGACACGTCGTGCTCAGAGGACGAGTACATGCTGACTGATACACACGACGACCTCGTGGACACCGACGACCACGTGCTCTCCCACCTCCACGTGCCCATTGCCCCCACCACTGCCTCTATTGCCACCAACCCCACTAACACCAATCCCACGGTCGTGTTACGACCACACTCCCCTGACGTACCCAGACCAAGGAGTATAGTCGAGACCCAAGTGAATAAACTGCAAAACTTAATGGCGGCCGGTGCTCAAACTAAAACGGCCGCGCTTACCCGGGAGGAAGTCGAAGCGTTCAACAGAATTGGCCCTATCAGAATCCCTCAGCAATTCAAAAAGATAGACTCTGAAGCGGGACGATCCGCCGTGCCGTTAAACCGGACCACCGGATCTCCCGGAACCGAAAGACTTCTGCCGGGCGAAGGGAGCACGCCTCAAGACACTTTGCGAGTGATCCGAAGTCCGGTAATATTTAGTGAGAGTTCATCTCCACGGAGACTATCCCCGATAGTCAACTACAATATCGGCAACATGAACCCGAGGCATATCGATATAGAGCAATTTTGGAACAGAGAAAACGATAAACTGTTGCCGCGAAGCCCTTCAGTGAACAGCAATTCTAACTCGTCGAGAAAAGAAGACTACAATCAGAACTATTGTGATCGATTGAGCGCAGCCAACAGCCCGATGACTCCGTTGAATGAATACAATGGAAATATGCCCCGATCCGTCGATCCCAGATACCATATGCCTCTACAAATAGAAGTGGACCCGGTAAGTTATTATCTATCAATATAAACTCAAAAACAAGAACTTATTTTTTACTCAATAGTATAATTTCATTTCAATATTCCAATATACCAAATATCCAATAAAAACCCCCAATAATCCAATAAAAATAACCTTTTTAGATTGAATAGATAAGTGATATAAAAATTAATGAAAACACTGTGTTGCTCTGTGGTCATGACGTCAGTTACTCATGTAAACAACTAAACTGCAGATGAGACACCGACGTCACAGCAGCTACTGTTGCTTTGTTTCACTATTTAAAACCGCATTTAAGAGTCCTAGTACAAAAAAAATTATTGAAAAAAATTTGTATATTTTAACATTTTGAATATTTAATAGAAGTAAAGTTATTGTTGTTAATATAAAGTCTATTTTAATTTATTTTGTAGTGGTCGTAATTTTACCATACAATTGTTTCGTTGTAGAATGCCTGGGAAAACGAATATGATGATTATGTTGGAGTCCAAAATACCATAGGGTTTGACAAATTCCTCATGTTGGGTAAGTAATGCATGTCTTTTCTAATTAATTTCTGTTATATGGAATTAGATTTTTAAGACTTCTCATTGCTTCAAATAACATATATGGATTTAAAACTTAATCTTTTTTAGTAAAATTTGTATTTTTTTGGCACTTATTTAAAGAGGGAGTTGTAAATATCAGTTTTGGTAAGTAAAAAATTATAAATGGCACGTTTAATAACTAGTTCAGCAGTTAAAACTAAGCCGTAAAGTAAACAAAAATGAGTTAAAAAAAATAATAAAATGGATCAGTGAATATATAATTGAGCAAGAAAATAATTAAATGAGCGTTAATAAACTATTGAACGAGCGGTTACGTGTGGGCAGTAATAAATCGAAATTTGTCGGTAAGAAATCTCATTCTAAGCAATTCTATAAACAATGAGGTGGTTAAATAAAATAAAAAAACAGTAAAGAAACAAATTACTTTTGCTTTGACTGAAGGGATTAAATAAAACTAATTGTATCATAATAAATTGTATTGTATAATATGTTTGTTTATATAATTTGTTCTGCTTCTCTTCCTTTTTTGACCCAGTGGAATTTTTTTAGCTTCAACTGGAGGGACGTCGTACTTCAAGCGTATGGACAAGTCAATTATATGTTACACATATATATGTATTTTATAAAAGTTTGGGCAAGTACATGTTCCTTGAGTCCATTCTTTTTTGTTTTTTTTTTTTTTTTTGCTGCAATATATATTCCTGTTTATTAAAAAATTGCTCTTTAAACTCATCAAAATTTTCAATTATTGCGCATTCTTTAGCTCCTGCAGCAGGTACTTGATAATGCGTTAAATTATCATTATTAAGTGTAATTTCAATCTCTTTCGGTAATTTGGCCTAATTATATGAATCTGTCCAGTCTTTCAAAGTTATTTCCGGTAATATTCTAAAATAGTTTTCAGATGGGTTCTGTGTATACTTTATGGACCACTCATTCACCATTTCTCCCGCGACTCGCGCTAATAAGCTCCGCCCGACTAACGGACATTTACCTCTCTTTTCTATGAATTTGAGCACGGCTCACTATGATCTGCCGAACTATTTAGCGAACCGCTCATTCCATCATTTTTACCGCTCATTCAGTTATTGGACTGCTCAATTATTTTTAGAATTGACATTGTATAATAAAATAACCGACTAATTGTTTTTTTATTACTGTCCATGTTTTACTGTCGCAATTATTAATCAACCGCCATTAAATTAAATGACTGCTCAATATGTTTTTCAAGTGATCATAATGAAATCTCGTATATTTAAATAACAGCTCAAAAAATTTGTTCCCTATTTTTTTTTTGTTTTATCGGACATTAAGATCGCAACATTATTATAATTGAATTAACATTTCCGAGTACATAAATCCATCAGGCAAGCAAGCAACATGTTATCGCAACTCGTGCGCACAACAGAGACAAGATTGTCGTCTATACTTGTACCAATGCATCATTGCAGCGTATGAGTAACCGCCTCGAAATAGCACAAGTCCTGTGCCAGGACATGCTGACGCCATGACTCATTACATATTAAAGAAGTAGCCGGCGGAACTGCTACCATAACATATAATTCTGTAAATGCGATTTATCATGTCCGAATAAGTACTGTAAATTAAAATTTTGTGTGATAGATTTATTTTTGAATACAAACCTATTTCTGTTTTATAATGGTAAAAATATTTTCTAATAAGTTTTAATGTGGTGTAAAACTTTATGGCAAACTGACCTAATTTCTATTGTTTATCTTTATCTATAAAGAAGCGAGTGATATAGTCAAACAATAAATATTGATATTTTTGGACCGTTAATGAGGTAATCACGGATGGTAAATGAACCTAACCTAATTTAATATGCGGGTATATTGGCAAGTGGCGCCTTAGCTAACACTTGCTGATAATTTTTATGCCAACGCAGAACAATATTTTGAAACGAAGGTCTCTCTGTATAAAGAGATTTATGAGTGAGACGGCTGATCCATTTGAGGGCAAAATCTGTTGTTCGTCACACTAATGCTTAAAATTATATATAGACATTGAAAATGATATAGGTGTAGATAATTTTCATAAACTTAACATTCGAACAACATACATGCTAATCCAAACTTATATCTATACTAGTGTTGAAAAAATACCCGTATTTCATGCGTAAATTCAAAGAACGACCGAATTTGTCCCTTTTATCAAAACGTTAAAACATACGCGTTCCACCAAAAAAAAAGTAAGTTATTTGGTTTTTTATTAAACCTGGATAAAAAAATTAAAATACCGTATTTTTTGCACATTTAAGCATTTGTCCCTTATAGGCTGAATAAAATGGCAACACTAATCTATACCTTTACCATAGATATAATAAGCTTGATACGGTGCTACTAGTCGACAATTTGGTTTAATAACAATATAGCTACCATCAGTGCCGATAATTTGTTATGACTGTACCTATTAAATTTACAAGAGTTTAAGTATCTTTAACATTTTGTGAACACGTTTGTAATTTTTTTGAGGTGCCCTAACCTTGATGGATACTTATCAAGTTATTTAAAAAATATTTTAATAAATCAATATTTATATACAATTGCAAAAATTTCATGGTACGCTGAAATGTCAACAATGTAACTAAAGAATGGTGGAATCTGATAATTATTTATTTTCCGTTCCATTACATAAATACAGGAAATATGATATGCAATAGGAGCTGTCTCACGATTGAAGATATTCTGTCAGTTTGGAGTGTAGCGGATGTTTTGACGTGAACGAATACCGCATTAATGCAGTGTTTGATTTATTACTACTATCAATGGGGACTAAAAACACATTTATCTAGCAATGACCACAGGAAAGTTTCTTTTTGTTCTATTATATTCTTATGTGCTAAAATAAATGAGCATCGCCGCAATTCCTGGAAGCTCGCACGTTCAACATGTTACCATTTGACAAGCACAGGCCACTCAAATATCAACCGCTTACTCACTCGCAAAACATTCTGTTTCAAAATTTATATTTGCATTTATGCAATAAATTATTTAAATGCTATTGTATATCTTGACGTTGGATCCCGTATAATATAGAGTACGTTCTCTTCATACATACGCACCGATAACGGTTTGTATGTGAGCGCGCTCGTGCGTATGCGTCATCGAACACACACATTGAAAAAAATTATCAATGATAAAGGTACTCAAGGTACGAGTCAACACAACTCGCCAGTAGTGCCTGCACACACACATTCCGTGCCGCTGTGTTACCGTTTGTAATAATTTGTACGTGTACCTACATACCTCTAAACTACAAATTCAGAAATGGTTTTGAATTCAATTAGAAAATATTGCAGTCATTCATGCAACATCTTTAAATATGTTTCAATAACATTTCGTACTTGTCGAAACATGTTTCTTTTTCTGTATTTTGTAAAAAATCACATATTTGCTACAGAAATAAAGTATTTAAAATTCTTTTTTCTGTCTATTATTACTGTATACTGTATACTAAGAGTATTTCTTAGTATTGTAAAAATATTCAGTTATCAAATTTATTTATTTTAATTTTGAGTGTAGAAATAGTTAATAGTATAAAAAATCAATTTTATAATCATTTTATCTGAGTAAATACATGATTCACGTATGTCATGTTTTAACTAATCTTTATCGAACGTGATTTTTTAAAATGCCGATTCGTTCAAAAAACAGATCCCACGATGTTGGTAATGAAATTTTATAATTTTTCACCTGGTTTCTTGGTACTATGGTCCTTACATTTCTGACGATTGAAGCACCTATAAGAACATTCATTTAGGCTATTATCACTCGCTCGAGGCTCGAATTTGCGTACTATTCTTCTTTTACTATGCTTAATTTCAATTTCAATTTATTCAATGCAAGTCACAGGTCATACAGATGTTATAAATTAATTTTGTACAAGTGACGCCCTGTAAGGGCACAGCAATACTGAGGGGCAACTATTGCCATTTTTACTTATATATATTATTGTTCTAGTGATTATTATTACATTTAATAGTTATTTTACTTACATATCCAATATACTTTAAACTCGATTAATACATTTACAATACATTCATTTATTAATTCATTTAATAATTATTTTATTAATTACTTAATTTATAAACCTTAAACATAGTTGATTTATTCATATATACTTTTTTTTGTATTATTCTTTTTATTTTTTTATTTTTTATTTGGGCACAGTTTGTTACTTCTCGTTAAGAAACTCTTCAATATTGTAATAACATTTACTTATTAAGTATATTTTCAGCTCTGTAATAAACTTTTTTGTTTCTTTTATTTTCTTTAAGCTATTCGGAATATGATTATAAATTTTGATGGCCATAAAATGAGGTCCTGTAGTGACTAATTTCAGTTTAGAAAACGGTACTTTAATTTGGTTTTCTGTGCGATTGTTTCTCTTTTTAGCCAACTTTACCGGTGAGTATAAATTTTCATGTTTTCGTATAAACTTACAACATTCCATGATATAGATTGAGGTTAACGTAAGTATGCAATGTAATTTAAAGTGAGGTCTACATGATTCCATCTGATCTATATTAGTTAAAATTCTAATGCACTTTTTTTGCAGAATAAAAACACTCTCGACGTCATTACAATTTCCCCATAAGATAATTCCGTAAGCTAGCCTGGAGTGTGCATAGGCATAATAAGCGGTTAGTGCGGTTTTAAGATCTGTAACTTTTTTCAAGTGTTGTAAAGCATAAACAAATGAAGACAATCTACTTTTCAGCTTTTGTAGGTGGGATTGCCAGTTTAAATGTGTATCTAGATCAATGCCTAAATGTGTATCTAGATCAATGCCTTATGGCGTAGGCAGAGACAACCGTGAACCACAAGGCACAATCCCACAACATGTCTGTGACTTCCTCAACGTTCATTACTCTTGCAATATCTACATGCTTGCCTAATTATATGGCATCTGATATTTATAATACCATTATGGTAGCTATGTATTGCTTTCCATTTG